GCATCTCACCCACATCACACCGCATCTCACCCGCATCACACCGCATCTCACCCGCATCACACCGCATCTCACCGCATCTCACCCGCATCTCACCCGCATCTCATCCGCATCTCACCCGCATCTCACCGCATCTCACCCACATCTCACTGCATCTCACCCACATCTCATCCACCCACATCTCACCCATATCTCACCGCATCTCACCAACTGATCACAAGTACAAACACACACACTCACAGACACACACACACACTCACACAGGAACTCACAGACACACACATCCTATTAGACTTCTGTTTTTATATACAGCTAGTTATAAATACTAACCTACACACCAAACCTAACAGAAAACTTAGTTTTTTAAAACTTTATTATGAGAATGTTCCCAAAGTGAGGTTTTCTCAGGTTTCAAGTTATCTCAAGTTTCTCCCACTTCTAAGTACATTTTGTCTCTGAAATATGGCAATGAAAGATTAAGATGTATATAAAACTTTACAGATGTGTAGGTAACACAGGTGACAGTGCAGCAGTGTGAAACGCCTCTGAACGCTCCTGCAGATATTGTTCTGGAATGAAGCTCTGCTGTGTGACTGCTCTCTCCCGCTGTGACCCCGTCTCCTGCGATCAGGAAAGGTCACGGTGAAGGCTAGTCGTCTCCAGAGAGCGACACGTATGGCTAATCACTATTGTTTCACAGCGCTGTGACCTTTAACCCGAGACGCCCGCCGAGACACCAGGACTCAGCACTCTATAACCACTCTTCAGCTGCAGTACACACAAAACCAGAATCAGTGTTTCAGAATCAGTCAATTCAGGAGCATTTCTCAGGATCTGTCAGTAATAATGAAGGGGAACTGTGTCTTTGAAAGCCTACTTTTATATAATGAAAAATCTGGGATTTGAATCCTTCTCTTCATATTCCACAGACAGAAGAATCGCTTGGATTTCACGACTCAATCTCACCCGAAATATTTAAAACACATTACTACTGACAAACACATGGGATTTTAGTTGTTTAATTGGATTTCTTCTTTTCAGAGGAAAATGTGTCCAAAATGACACAAGAGTCCCGTACAATGAACAGAAACTGTTAATATCACCCAACATATAGAAGTAAAAACAAAAGCCTGAACATAACACACAAACTTTGTAGAAATGGTTTTAAAAACACAGCCACAGTCATGTGACACACGTTCACTCAAGCTCCGCCTCCTTCGTCCCGTTGCCAGCGGTTATGTCGCAGCTCTCTGCGCTCCCATCCACTTTCTCTCCCTCCCCGTGTTCCTGCGTTTGATGGACTGCCTCCTGCGGGCCTGTGTTCTGATTGGTTGCGTTCTGCGGGCCCGTGCTCTGATTGGTGGGCTCCTTGGCCACTTCCTGCAGGTTGTACTTGCGGAAGAGCGTGTAGTCCTTGAGGACGCTGACACAGCAGACCGCCTTGATGATCTCGATGATGATGGAGAGCTCAGGGTTGGTCAGATCCACCTTATTCAGTGGATTCAGCTTCCCCACCAGACCTAAACCCAGCAGAGAACAGACAGAGATGAGACACATAATGCTTTTTCCTTTTTGTAAAAATTTCATTTAAGACAAATAAAAAGAAAGTAAACTGAACCAGAGGGAGACAAAATATTGTTTGAATTTTATAGGGATGGGTCATGATTTTTGAATATTCGATTAGTTGATTTAATTATAGAATATCGAACAGGTTGTGCGATTATTAGAGGTCGACCGATATGGGTTTTTCACTGGCCGATGCCGATATTTAAAAATCAAGGCAGCCGATGGCCGATATATGATGCCGATTTTTTTGCCCGATATGTTTGGCCAATTTTCTTTTTTTTTCCCCCCATTCATCTCATAAAAGTGAGTTTGAGCAAATGATTATTGCAGGGTACAAGATAGTATTAGTGGTAGTAGCCCAATTTAGAGTAATAATACATGGCTCAAAACTTAAGCACCTTCTCAAAACAGTTCTGAAGCATGCTTTTTGTTTGTTTGCTGACAGACACCAGTGTTTCCCACAGACTGCAAATTAATTATCTGCCAGCAGGAGGCGCTGTTGGAGCGGGCGATATAGCGGTTTGTCCGGTAACGGCTGTAATCAAACAAGCACTGCGCTCACAAACGCTACTTTATCAGGCATTACAGGAAAGACGAAATTAAAATGACATCGAAGCTTTTCTGAAAAAGTTTCAATATCTTGCCTTCACTTTCATTTTGGACCATCTCCAAAAAGACATTTAAAATCTAAACATATGATTTACAAGTTTAACATGCGTTTATCAAAGTAGGAAATAATTAGTGTTCTTGAAATAAGAAATGGAGGCGGGTCCGGACTGAATTCCCTCTGGGGTCCGGACTTTGAGAAGCACTGCTCTATAGTGACAGTGATACTCTATAGTGACAGTAATACTCTATAGTGATACTCTACATTAACAGTACAGTGATAGTGACAGTAATACTCTATAGTGACAGTAATACTCTATAGTGATACTCTACAGTGACAGTGATACTCTACAGTGATAGTGACAGTAATACTCTATAGTGACAGTAATACTCTATAGTGATACTCTACAGTAACAGTGACAGTACAGTGATAGTATAGTGATACTCTATAGTGACAGTGATACTCTATAGTGATACTCTACAGTAACAGTACAGTGATAGTGACAGTAATACTCTATAGTGACAGTAATACTCTATAGTGATACTCTACAGTAACAGTGACAGTACAGTGATAGTATAGTGATACTCTATAGTGACAGTGATACTCTATAGTGATACTCTACAGTAACAGTACAGTGATAGTGACAGTAATACTCTATAGTGACAGTAATACTCTATAGTGATACTCTACAGTAACAGTGACAGTACAGTGATAGTATAGTGATACTCTATAGTGACAGTGATACTCTATAGTGATACTCTACAGTAACAGTACAGTGATAGTGACAGTAATACTCTATAGTGACAGTAATACTCTATAGTGATACTCTACAGTGACAGTGATACTCTACAATGATAGTATAGTGTTACACTATAGTGACAGTACAGTGACAGTGATACTCTACAGTGATAGTATAGTG